TCGGAGCCCTGGTCTAAGGGCCAAGGTGAGGAGCAGGGACTGGGGAGGGAGCCAAGCTGGAGGAGCAATTAACCGTGGGAAGAAGGGAGCCGTCACACATGCACACAAGCCCCTTTTGACACTGCAAGGGCAAAGCTGAAACACAGATATGCCAGGCTTGGTTGAGGTTCAGAGCATGAGAAAGAACGAGCAACATATGCACAAAGAGCCCAAGAGCTGCCGCCTGTGGGCTTGGGGCTGCTTAGGCACAACGTCAGAGCGAATGCTTCTCCCAAAGGTAAAGTGAGCAGAGCCCAGCAGATGCCCATCTCCACTAGAATCCAGCCCAGGCTGGCAGCTCATCGGCTTCTGATCCAGCCTCCCCCTGTGCTAGGGAAAGAGAGAAAAAGAGATAGCTGGGAAGAGGTTAAGTCACGTGGACAGTGATATTCCTTGTGTGGAACATCCCTCGACAGCCAGCCTGGCACAGATCAGCCAGGCCTGGGGCACTGAAGTACAACCTCTTCATGAGGGTGAAGAGATGCCTGCCATCCATCACCCCTGCCCTAAGGGCACCCCTCAGTGCTACCTGATCCATCACTTGAGGGACAAGGTCTCCAAGTTGGCACCAATCTGTAGACCAGACTCTAAAAACAGAGACAGGCAGAGACCTTGGGGTAAAAATGTGACTCACTCCTTACTTGAAACACATACTATGGAGCAACCAGTGTGTGTGCACGTGTGTGTGGGGGGGGGGGCGGTAGGGGGCATAAAAATAAAGTCTCTGCACATTAAAGACGGGTTGGATTTTGGAAGTTCTGCCCTTCTCTGAGACTGTCTTGACAAATACAGAAGCCCAGGCAGCAAAATCTGAGCCGAGTTTGTTAATGTTTTTATTTTATTTTATTTTTATTTTTCTCTCACTTAAACAACAGACTCCCRGACCTCTTAGAGGAAAATAAACAAATGACAGAAAACGCCGGATGACCCTAAACTTTCACTTGCAATTTATCACAGCGTCAGCCCCAGGCCCTCTGTATTTCTGGGCACTCAGAGGAAACGGCTCCCTGAGAACTGCCAGCAAGCATCTGACAAGTGCACGGCCATGTGGTCCCATCTGTCATTCTTCACCACCCATCAAACCCTCCCTTGGAGGCCGAGGACTGCTCTCCTGGCCCCTCACGAGATGTGAAGACCAGGCCCAGGTCCCGGTGTTATCCTGGAAGGTCACCCCCCAGTCGTTGGCATCAAGACCCCAAAAAAGACACACTTGAGGAAAATCCACGGGCCTTGGCACAGCCAGGTAGAGCCAAGCCGGGCAAGCCGATGACCTCAGAACTGTCTGCTTCCAGCCGCTCTCCTTCAGCTACTTCAGTGAAAACCCCAAATCCAGCTTTCTCTCTCTCTCTCTCTCTCTCATCTGTTTTAACAGCAGATTTCCAGAACTAAAGGGGCTGTGTGGGGTCTTCTCCCTCTCTTCAGATACTTCTCTGTCACATCGTGAAACACATGTGCGTGCACGTGTGCACCCGCGCCCCCCTCCAAGGGCTAGGACTAGAGAAGAAGGGGAGGGGGGCGGCCAGGATGAGATTGCCCCAGATCAATGGATATTTGAAACTCAAACACATGGCCCAGGACCTACACTGCACGTGTTAATTACCACACATGTGCCTGTAAAGGAGTCCGTTAAACACAGGGGCCCAAAGAACAGAGCRAGGAAGGGACATTCCAAGGGATTAAGTAAATAGTCTGAAGTTGTGACCCTCCTCCCCTCCTGAAGCACGTGCATCTGGCTGCGGAAGATAACAGGGCCCCCCTTCTCCCCCCACTTCTTCCCTGGGGCCCCACACCTGTGGACCACAGCCACCCAGGCCTCCCAGCCTGAGGCCAAACTCCGTGACCTGCTACCGAAGGCTGCCCTCCTCCTTTCCTCCTGCTATCTCTCTGGGCCTCCTCTCCCGGCTCCTTGCCTTTCTCCTCCTCTCCTTCACAGGACTAATTCCTGGCTGGCAACCAGACGCTGCGTGGTCACACAATACATCTTTTCATTCCTTCCAGGCCGAGAGAACCGATCCCTCCCAGCCCGTCAGTGGGGCAGATTCAAAAGGCCAAGAGGGGAGGGAGAGAGAGGCCTGGGTCCCGTCCTCACCCTGCAGCCCCTCACCCCTCACACCTGCAGACCTCATGCCTCACCTCCTTTCTGACCATATCCCCCCTCCTGCTCAAGGGTCCCCAGGCCAGCATCATTTAAATTGCAGCCTCAGGACGGCGAGCTCCAGCTCTAGAGAGATGCCTCCTTGGGGAAGCCACGTGTGGGCACAAGCTCAGACAAGGGGCCTTTGTGTCTTCCCACCTGCTGCCCTACAGAGCACATTCCATTCTTAAGTGGCCTCTGAAAGAGGAACCTTGGCAGGTCAATACAGGATATTACGAATGCCCTCTCATACCCTGTCCCCATTCAAACTTAGGCTTCCTGGACAGGTGTGGCTTCAGGTGGCCCTTCCTACAGGTGGCCCAAACCTGCTCTTCATAGCACGGCCCATGGAAGACAAAGGAAAGAAGACTTGGTGCCTAATTAGATTCTCCAAATAGATGGAAAGAGAGATCACTGGGCAAAAATCAAGTTTCCAGGAGAGAGTGAGCCCTAGCATCTCCTACCAGGGCCTTATCCTGACTTTTGCTCCAAGGAAGAAGCCTCTGCAGAACCACCTAGGTGGAAGGACCCCATCCAGGACAGGGGAGCAAAGAGCTGGAAGCCAACACCACTTGTTCTCTCCAAGAGGAGGCTGCAGATTCTACCCTGTTTCCTCCACTTCCCTGGAGAATCAGGCTCGTCTGGCCTCCTTTGGCCCATGCTCACTGTAAATTGCTGTAAATGTACTCCTCAACCCACCTGCCCTCTTCCAGCTGGCTAAGTGAGGTCCAGGATGACCATGGTTCTGTCTCACTGTTACCCACAGGGCGCAAAGCCACATCAATCTGGAAAGCACTTCTCTGTCTGGTTTAAGAACCAGATGGCCCAGATGATCTTTCCTGGTACTTGGGCTTCATTCAGCATCGTACACTTCACTCACTCCCTTTGGAAGGGAAAATCCAAGAGGTCAGTTTTGCATAGTTACCCATTTCCCCTACTACTAGGACCTCACGCCCAGAGACACAGGTGATGTTCCTGAAGATTTCAGTGGCGAAAAGCAAAACAGAAGGCAGCTCCCATTTCCACCCCCTGTAGACACAGGTCATTGACAGCACTAGTGATTTCAGATCTTTGCAGATTTGGAAAAAGAGACTTCCTGCCCTTCTTCCCACCTTCCCTTACCTGGGAGGGAACCACCAGCACTCATCTATCTCCCCTTGTCTGAGAGGAACCTGGAAAGACACTTGCTCCCTTCTTTTCACCCACTCACTCATTCCTGCCCAGCAGGAAGAGGAGCAGCGCATCTGGGCCGTGGGTGTACGTTTCCTAGTAGGTCACCGTGTTCTACTGGGCCACTGTATTCTACTTCCATGGCTTGGAGCGCCTGTGTTTCGGGCAGCAGGTTCTTTGGACTGTTGTCTCCTGCATTCAGAGTGGGTGCTCTGCCTCTTCTTCCATCCCCAGGGCCATGTGTGTAGGATAAGCCTGTGCACTTCGTGCTGACTCAGCAGTTCCAACTCTACAAGGGCTCTCAAGGCCTAGGTGCAGGTGGAAGCCTCAAATTCAGCAGAGGTAGGAGCTCTGCAGTGCTTATACATGAAACGAAATGGAGATCTGCTTTCCAGGCTGCTACCCGCTCTCTGTGAATGCCATCCTAGAAGCCAGTGGCAATAAAATATAGGCCTCGAACTATCTCCCACACTGAAAATCATGGCCAACATATACCTAATCCTCATGCAGACTAATCCACTAAATAGCATTCAGACAAATGCCAGATATCTTACTTCAGGGACCCAGGAAGAAATGAATATGTAGGACCCTTTGTAAAAATTAAAACAAATAACAACAACAAAAACAAAACCAGGAAAAACTGACATTAAAGTCACTAAAATATAAAGCTTTTCCCTGTTTTCCATAGTCTCTCCTCTTGAGAAATCATGGTGACCTCTCATTTGCTGTTTAGTGTTGTTCCAGGTAAACAAAAATTAAAGCCTTAAGCTTGCTGTGGGAGCCACATAGCACAGCCAGCCCCAATGGCACATGCCTGTAATCCAAGTACCTCAGGAGGCTGAGACAGGAGGAGCGCAAGTTCAAAGCCAGCCCGGTGAATTCAGTGAGGCCCTCGGCAACTTACTGAGACCCTGTCTCAAAATAAAAAATAGAAAGGTCTGGGGATGTGGCTCAGTGACAAAGCTCCCCTGGGTTCAATCCCTGGTTCCAAAAAAAAAGAAAAAGAAAAAGGAAAAGAAAGAAAAGAAGTCATCAAAGCACACATCACAAAAGCTACAAGCTTCTGGGGTGACAACATCTGGCATCAGATACTCATATTACAGGTATATCTCTGCTCACTGTCCCCTCAGATTCAAGACAGAACTACTCAGAATTTCAGGAAAACAAGTGCACAGGCCACACAACCATGGAGCCAGCCCAGTGTTAATGAAGAGAAGCGGGATGCACTGGAACCCAGGGGTAAGGAGAATTGCGGCGGGGGCGGGGTTACTCAAGTGAGTTATTCAAAAGAGAGCTGAAGAGAGCTGAGGGCAGACACGAGCACTCTATCTTCACTGTCCACTTTGGTTGAATGCTGGCTACATTGGAGGTTGACCAGCTGAACTCCCAGGGAGCCCAGGAGCTCAGGGCTCACATCCAGATCCCTGCAGCTCTGCTACACTTGCTTGTCCCCCTCAGAAATTCTGGGAGATGAATCACCACCACCACACGAGCCTTACTTACCACCAGAACAGGGAGGAAACAGAATGAGAATGGAGAAGGCTTTCTGGGGGACACTTTTAGCTTTCACTCCAGGCTCCTTCTATCTTGTCTAAGAACTTCTGCTCGGACTGGCTTTAGAAGCAAACATTTAGATAAAGCATCAAACTCCACTCACCTCTCCTTCCAGAGTTACCCTGGCTCAAGGGCTTGTCGGTGACTGAACCTTGGGGGAGAGGAGAAACAAAAACAGCCATTCAGAGCGTGCGGCGGTTGGTTTCTTTCAAAGGGTTGGTAAAGCCTGACATTATGAGCATAYGGCCATGTATATACGTATTGTATACACACCGGGGGATATTATATACAAAGTGAGTATGTACATACATGTCGAGCAGGGTTTGTTTAACATCAATGTCACTGATAACCTAGCACTGTTTTGAGACAAACTATAATTTCCAGGTTCCCTGGCAGTGGTCTTGACCAGGTTCTTTAAAAAGTCCACTTGCATATAATTCCCCTGTCGAACATTTCAAAACCTACCCCTCCACATCCACATGTCCCCCACWTCTCACCAGCTCCCTGTTCTGAGCCATATCCAGTCGGCAGGGCCAACTGAAAAGAAAAACCCCTCTTACTGCAAATGCAATGATTGACATCCCTTGCTGGTTAGGGCAGGAAATCAGCGATTTTCCATCTGCATTAAGTAGAAAATTGTCGGCCCAATTGTACTGAATGGGCCAAAATAGTCTGAGGCATGGAAACAATTTTCTAGACACAGCCTGTTCCTCAGGGTGGGGGTAGCATGTGCGTTTCCCCTGCATATACTGGAGCACCACATGCACCCATCCTCCAGACCTGACCCTGTGGCACCTGCCTTCTCCGGGAAGCCCACCCCCACACAAGCAGGGTATGACCACATATCCACGAGACGACCTCTGCAGAGACCCCACCAACAAAAGGAAAGAGGATCCATATTTTCCTAATTTTTGTCGTATCCCTTCCTTCTCCATATCCTAGTTTTGTGAGAATTCCATTATATTATCCTCCACGGCTACTTTCTAGTACATTTGTTTGCCTTACATGAAACTCTCCAGGTCATGTGCAAGGAGAGCTAATTCCTGCCCCCCCTCCACCCCAGCCCCAATTAAGGTTTCCAGTTTCCATGTAAACCACAAATAAAGTAAACTTCCCTTTTGGCCTGCAAATTTGGGTTTTCTAATATACATTCTTACTGTCCTATCCACTTAACTTTTCTCTTTTATATGGAAGGGCTAGTAGAAAGAAAAAATGAGTAAATTTTGTAAGAAGTTACTAGGACTGGTAGCCTTTGGAATTTCAAATAGGTTTTTAGCAAGTGTTTTATATTTTGTTGACATTTAAAATTTWAAATAAGTGAATAAATAAAACTCTAGGTACACAGATATGGGGAAATGGTGAGAGACCCTTTTGATGAGAGATCAGCCACACAGGGAATTCAAGGGAGGAGCTCGTGAGTCCTCATCACTAAGAGGAGGCAGAAGGTGTGGGGTTTACATACATCCAGAATCCACAATCCCAATGAATCTGACCCAGTAGCAAAATAACGTCGAAATAGAAAGGATTTCATTTTTCCTATGGACTAACCCAAGAATTCCCAATCAAGCACCAGTTGCCTAACTTAACTACTCAGCAGAACCACCTGAGAACATTCATAAAAATAAGGACTTCGGGTCTCACTCCAGTCCTATTGGATCAGAATATACAAGAAGCATTGACATCTGGCTTCTTTCTTAATTCCCCAGGTGCTGCTGATGATCAGTCAGATTTAAAGGCCACTGACATGAAAGCTTTCCCTTATGGTAAGTTACTTTGCTCAAGTGTGGCAAATCTATGGCACAGAGGCCATCACTCTCCTCTCCCACACCTGTGATGGGCATCACTAATTGATCACTGCAGCCTTTGATGCTGAACTCACGCGGTCTCAAAATGCATGTTAATAATGCACTGCAAGGACCACTAGCAATCAGTCAGTCAGCACAAAAGGTAAAAGCATATATGCCACCTCAGCTCTAAGGGTTTCCACCAATGCTTAGGAAAAAAACACCAAGAAAAAAAACAAAAACAAAACAGAAATCTAAACTCAGAATAAATAAACATATATACCCTGGCCCTCATTATCCAGCTAATTACTGAGGAAGCTGTTAGAGGGGGATCTTTCCTGACCTGAAACAGGGCTTGTAGTCACCACCAACCTTTTAACAATCCCCAATGAGACGCAGGAGACCAATCAAGGGGTTTTTTTTTCCAACTCTTTTCATTCTTCCCGCTCCTCCCTACGATACCTGAACATACAGGAGTTTTATTCTGCACAGAAGAGCCACTGATGGGCTTCCCATCCGGGGTGACACACCAACAGTACCCTGTGTAGGTATGGCACTGCACCTGTTCAGAGGAAGGGGAGGGAGGAGAACCTTAAGTCCCAGAATACAACATCAAGAGGCACCCACCCCTTTCCATGCACTGCCCATCCAGCAGAACAGCTCCTGCCACCTCTCACTCCACATCTGTCTCCAGGGTATATCACATGTGGGTCACCTAGCCAACAGCATCCATGCACAACCATGGCCATTGATCTGCTTCATTCTTATTGACTCCAAACACTTGACAGCTGGGATCGTTCTGAGATATGTCCACTGTGATTTTCCTGTTTTGGGTCTCACCAATCCCTGTACATTCTTTTCCCAAGCACTCCCATCCAATTATTAAGAATTCTGATCAGTAAACTAATTAGGCAAATATGAGCTGGAATTTCACCATTGTGGATTGACTTGATGCTTCTTTAACAAGTAGAGACAAATGGTAAGCTACTATATATATATACTAATATATATATATATATATATATATATATATAGAGAGAGAGAGAGAGAGAGAGAGAGAGAGAGAGAGAGAGAGAGAGAGAGAGAGAGATTTAGTTGTTGATGAACCTTTATTTTATTTATTTATATGCGGTACTGAGGATCAATGCAGGACCTCACATGCTAAGCAAGCACTCTACTACTGAGCCACATCCCCAACCCAAGCTACTTTTCTTGTTCTAGTTTCTCTAAGCACCYGTATATGGATCAGCCTGCCTACTATCACGTGGCTCTCCTGAGCCAGGGCACACACGCATCAYAGGGTCAAAGCATGAGAAAAGTCCTTGGTGCCTATAGGTTCTACTTCTAGATGTCCAGATGCACCTCTGGGTGACCTTCCCCAAATCTCCAGGGTCGGGTTCCTTTGTCTGGGATAGAAAATGAAAATGAGCTGTTCACACCCYTTAGGACACCCTTTAGGAAACTCTTCTCTCCCCAAGGCCCCCAGCCCATAGCTGTCACCTCACCCACCTCCTCCCACTCCACCCCACTGTCCTCTTCCCTTCTGTTTTCTCTGTGAAGTTCCTAAACACATATCAGAGCAGATTCCCTTACTTAAGACCCCTCAGTGAGGACTGGAGGTGTAGTTCAGTGKCAAAGCACTAGCCTAGCACATATGAGGCCCTGGGCTCCACGCCCAGCCCTGCCAAAAACAAAGTAACCCTCAGAAATGATTCAACCCTGAACTCAGGATAGAGTAAAGAAATTTGCATAGCGCTCAAGGTCCTCCATATCTACCCCAGCAGGAGCATCCCACACACCCTCCACTCTACCACAATGAAGCCTTTGATGCTCCCAAACACACCCTAGTTTCTCCAGATTCTGAACCTTTGTTTGCTCCAACTATTCAATTTGTCTGGGACACCATTCCCCAGCCCAGCCCCAGTCCTCTTCTAATTCTTTGGTGGCCCTCTCCTAATCCCCCTCCATGACACACCTCCACCTCAAAGCAGTCCCTGTCTTCCTGCTTCCCCTCCCTCCCCTCCTTCCTCTGATTCTTCCCCAAATTCAGGGCCCTTATCACAGCGAGCTCTTGCTATTGATAGTCTTCTTCCCACTCTAGACCATAACTTCAAGGACTGCAAACTAGTTATTTCCCCCTTCCGAGCATCTAGCATAGCACCTGACATTTATTGTAGGTGATTGATGGGCTGAATAAAGGCACAAATTCTCATATTTCCTCAAGTCTTGGTCCCCATCAATTCTAAAAATGCAATATCAATTTAAAGAGCCRCAGCACATTAACTGTAGATCTCAATGACAAGATGTGTGCCAACTGCAAATAGATTAAAGTGTAAAAAAATGTATCTCTTGGGATCAAGGACATATTGAAATCACAGCTAGACAGTAATCGCATACAAATTAAGTTGGGCGGCAGAGAAGGAGACAGCGAAAAGAGCAATCTGACAGACTGGGCAAGACCCAGAAGTCATCACTAAGGCAGAAAAGCTGCAGACAGGTTTCTGCTCTCGTGTGGGCACCACACCCTGCAATTTCCTCCAGGACAAGTTGTTTCAGCACAGACCTACTCATAGAAACCAGGGCAAGACAAATGGAGGGTCCCTACCAGCATGACAACTGCTGTCAAAATGAGGCACTTGCCTCTATCATCTCTGCAAGGCAGCTACACCCAGTGCCTTGACCCTGGAACCACACGTCCAGCCCCTGCTTGTTTCATGGCATAGTCCTCACCCACAGCCATGGCTGTTCACCAAGATCAGTATCTTGGGTTGGGACAGCACTACTTTCTCAGGGGCCTTAAAGGTGGAAAGAAAAGAAATCCATATCAACCAGGGCTTGGATCCCAGTCCAGCCAGTTGGGAACTGGGCATCTTACTTAGCTCTCTGAGCCCTGTCTACACAATGGAGTGACAATGTCCAACCTGGAGGATCAGGGGAGGCAGAGCAGTGCTTGTCATGTGGTAAAGGACAGAGGTGGAGTGGCTATCGCCATAGTTGCTCTTGGTTGTGTCAGAAACACCTGGCAAGCCGTCTCTTCACAGGCCAGTGCTCCACTAGCAATCTCCACAGGCTTGGGTGGGAAATGCAGCAGGAAACTTGGAGTTGACCCTCCCTCAGATTCCATCAGGGGATATTTCCTAGAGATGACGCTTCACCAAGAGCAGCATTTGAATGGTGACTGGTTGGCTGCTTTCTCCTCCTTGGCTAATAATCACCCCTGGGGGACTCTGTCCTGGGATTGGGTGGCCATACTGACTCATGCAGGATCCCCTTGGCTCTCAGGGTCAAGGTGATTCTCTCTGTTTGAGGCCTGCACAATCCAAGTCAGYACCCCAGGCCGTGCCTCTGGGCTGGTGCTGCACTGCTAGAACCTGGCACTGTGGTCAAGGAGGCTGCAGAGAGCTGGCTGATTGGAGAGCCCCCTCCACCAAGGCATGCACAAAGTCACAACTAAATGCATGAGTCAAGTGCCAAGCCCAAAGCTTTGTTCCAGGGGATATAATCTGACCTCTGGGCTCAGTGGGTCCCAAGGGCCACATGCACAGTGAGTGTGCCCATTGTATCCCTGGGGGCACCAGGGCACTGCCTCCCAGCCCCCAGCCAGGCCCAAAAGCCCAAACACAGCTCCTTTCTCCCCAGGGTCCTTGGCATTTCCACCCATACACACTCTAAAAAACTGGACTACAAAATCCTCAGACTGGGAGCTCCTTCCCAATCTTATGAAACTGAAACCTAAATGGGGAATTGTGCCTGGGGTACACAGTAGCCMGCAAACCTGCCCCGGTGTATTATAGGGGGAGGCAGTAAATGGGAGTAAAAGAAGGCACAGAGACCCCCAGAAGGATGTCAGACTGTGGGAACCACAGAGGTGGCCAAGCAAAATCCCTTTGTCGTAGGGGCCTGAAGAGAATCAGCCCATGATTCTGAATTGAAAAGTAGTTTTTGAGTTGCCTTGGGGAGTTTTCAAGATGTCTTCTTGCAGAAAAAGAAATGGCATTAAGACAGACTACAGCCTGGAAAGCTTCTTCATTAGACTAAGGCTCAAACTGTCTGCATTTATTTTAAAAGGGAAGATGATGGTAATAGTACCTATCTCCATTGTTGGGAGAATTAAATTAAGTAATGTAAATAAAATACTTAGCTCAGAGAGTAAGTGCCCAGTTCACCTTAACTATTTATTTTTATTATCATCATGTTATTTTTAAAGAAAACTATCTGTACCTTCAAAGAGGCCAGCGCCAGATTATCTCATGAGGACAAAAGAACATCCTATTCTGACCAGCCTGAGGGGAAAGAGCAATCTGAAATCAGCAAAATGTTTGAAAAAAGTTTGAGAGTGGGAAGATATAGAAACAGTTCTATTCCTTTCACAGAAGAAAAGCAATCAGGGTATACATTCTATAGAATTGATGGTTTATACAGRCAACCAAATGTGAATTCTGCCTGGTCAATCTTCCTCCCTTGCAAACTTATTCTTTTAAATTAATAAGTAATAGCCTTTGTTTCCCTGCAAGCCTCAAATTGATCAACTCTCAGCCTTAATCTATAGGAGAAGCCTGGGCCTGAGGAACTAAACAGGCAGTTGGCTGTTTCTAATATCTTGCTGTGCAGTTCTCACAACTCAGCATTGTTCSCACTCCAAAGGTATAGGCACAAACCAGGGAACTGGCTCTCTACCATGCTGAAGCCTTCTRGTAGGCTGAAGTGTCAACTGAGGGTACTTCCTTTAGAGACAAAAAGTGTGCACACCTCAACCAAAAGGAGTTTTTTTTTTTGCTCTCTGCTTGTACTGTAATTATCCTGTGGGATATAACAGGTGTTCCAACGGGTACATTAAAACAGTGTGTCCTTAGATAAGTAAGTTTCATCTCTGACTCACATACATTCATATTATTGGCAAGAAGCCCTTTACATAAACAGCTCAGTGGCATATTGCAGTTTAACCTCCATCCAAGATTAAGACAAATCTGCAATCACTTTAAGCCTGCTAATCTTCAACATTAGCCCAACTGCTGGCCACCTGGGAGAATGTGGAAGGCCAGCACTGCCAGCAAAGGCAGTGGAAAGGGACCTAGAAAACACCAATTCACAGGAGCTGAGGATAGGAAAGCAAGGAGAAACTCAGAGGGGCAGGTAGATTATGCAGATAGGCCACCATTGCCCATAGGTGCCATGCCCAAAATGGAAAATTCCACCTTTTACTTTAATAATGGCTTTTCAGTCCCCATCCGTGATCTCTGCATTACCTCATTTAGGCCTCAAAGTCAACCCATGTGCAAGTCCTTATAGGAGACGCCTGGAGAGAGCTGTTCTTCAAGTGTCATCGTTAATGACATCCCAGGAAATTAGAATCATTGCTCATAACACTTCAGAATGGACGGGKCTAGAAACCGCCGCAGAGATCACCAGTGTAACCCAAGCATTTTACAAGTGAGGAAACTGAGGCCCAGAGAGAGAGAGAGAGAAGTRGCAGGGTCCCTGGTCCCTAAAACTAACAGATGGAAATGTCTCAGGCCTAGAAGGGAGAAGGAGAAAAGAAGTCGTGACAAGCRCTGGCTTCTG